TCTGGATTTTCTAAAATAATAAAAAAAAAAGTAACTCCCGATTAATTATTTTACTATTATATAATTAGGTATCAGCTAATCATATATCGATGCGATTGGACCTTTTGATTATCTATAAAAAAAAAGGAGTATTTTTTTTGGAACAAAGAACGTTTATTTCGATTTTACTATACCGATGCATTAATTTTACTAATTGTTACACAGCCTTAATAAATTCACTATAAGCAATTATACTGACTGTACTGACTGATTATACTTATAGACTGAAGTCTTTATGAGGAACCATAATCATCTCGCGCCAATTGAACAAGGATTAGACAATAATTATTAGTGTATTATGTAATTATTAAATTTAATTTAATTCGATGGATCTAAAACATTTATAAATTAATGTATTAATACAAAAATGTTTTGTTGAATCTGGAATTATTTTAACCTAATACTTTATTTTGAATGTAACCTATGAAAAGGTACTCAATAATAATAAAAATTTGTATTGGTAGGCCTTATTTGCTAAGACAAACATCCATTAAGATATCAACGAAAAAGAGAAAAACGTAACCTCTTCCGAGAAAATCGGACTTTCTTCATTCTTCCCAATCCCTGGGTGAAGAGATCTCTTAGTATTTTTACCTCCTAACTATGGTAAAACAAAGTCCCGATGTAAAATGGCGATAAAATTAACAACTTGCTCAAGAAAATAAACACTAACGTTGATTCAAAAGGGGCAGACGTTCCACACAGCTTGTTGCCTGCGACAAAAGAGGATGTCTATACATATAACAGTTTTAGTAAAAAGGAACTCTATTTAATTCTTAATAGGGAAAAATATATCTCTTCAAAATCTGTAATAAGACAACATACAAATAATCACTGACCAGTTAAGAAAAGAAATGTGGTTATAATATTTGTTCAATACAGTTCAAACATCAAATCTTATTTTATCTAGACTATCCCAAAGTCTACATCAGGTATATATGTTAAGCTAACATGTTAAGAACGGAGATATATGAAATTCCAATCGTGAAATTTGGAGATAAAAAAACAATAATCGGAATATCTACACAACCGAATTTCACCGACAAAGACATAAGATTTACATATCTGCTAGTCAACTTTGGACTATGAAATCATCAAAAATGTTATGAGGATCTTCACATAGTGTGAGAAAATACCTATATAAATACCGATATATGTCATACCTATATCGAGACGTCCTTACAGGAAGAATGGCTATTCCTGTGAAATTAAAAAGCACTTAAACGCTAATGTACAAGGTCAGGAATCAAATGACACTATGAAAGGAGAGGAAGAAGAAGCAAATATTAGACAATAAGAATAAATGTGGAACACAAGAATATAATCTAAGAAGATAATCTCTTGCAAATGCAAAATCCAATGAGATTTTGGGTATAAATTAAAATCCGACATCACTAACAAAACTGAAGGCAGCTTAATTCTTAAAAGGAACCATCATTATTTTACTTTCTTACAGAGTTACACGATACCATAGAACGTTTATCACTTACCCATTTTTCAAGGATACAGTAAAATACAATAAAAAAAAAGAAACCAAATAAGCTTCAAGTATCAGAAAAGTGGGTGAGCAACAATCAAATTGAAAACAACTCTAAGTATAGTGACATATTTAGACCTGACATTCGACAGAAACATAAATTCATTTCGACAGTACACACAGATAGAGTAGTTAATGAGACATAAAACCAAGATGAGTGGACAAAATCGGATTAGAATTAATGGTAGAAGGACAGAAAGTTATTTACGAACGTCGATAATACGATAAAACTCTGTATGCCACACCAGTTTGAAAATCATCGGCAACTTATCTGATAAGGATTCAACGAGTTTAGAGATTGACGCTGCCTACGCCTAAGGGCTAATATGAAGATACCGATTCGGCTCAAAATATCCTCATTATCAACAATATACAAAATGATAACAGCAAATGAATAAGAGAGAGATTGGACAAACGATATAGTGCAAGATATATTTGCCAATTACTACACAATTGTTTTCATCCAAACAATATAAACTAATAGAGTAAATAATGCTACAGACAAGGATCCTCCAAATGTAGTGGATCTTTTACATATGGTAACAAAAACGAATAAGACATATACATGTTCTTAAATCACAAGAACTTGTTGAAGATGTTATGACGAATCATACCAACTACCACCAAACTACTTTAATATTCCGGCAGAGAAAATGGCTGTGGTATAGGTCACCTAAAGTTTTTTTTTAAACCAGGCGAAACATCGAACAAATTCATACAGCATTTTCAAGCACAATGGCGTTTTCATCAACTCATTAAAACATACAAAATCACGCGATTCATTGACTGCACAACTTAATGAAAATAATGAAAAGAAATATAAAAATTAGATTAATCCGAATTAAATCAACATTTAAGACAATGGTCGTACCTATTCGTTTTTTAAAAAAGCTGCGCACGATTCATAATTACAAATCGAGAAAAACAGAGTAAATGTGAGGGCGGGTTGGCCGAATGGGCTAACGAGTGCGCACAGCACCGTGAGTTGCCTGGCAACCAGACAACCGAAGTTATGAAAGACTGAAAAGTGCATCCCGGTGCCGAAGAGGATTTTAAATCCCCCGCCCTCACCATTCCCGTGCCAGAAAAAAACATCGAACAAAAAAACAAAAATAATATAAATAGTACATATTTCATCTCAACCTTGCACAAATATATACCAAACAACATTCTGCAGATCAATGGTAAACCTCAAAGCGTATAGTATTACAACTAATACAATTACAATAAGAATAATATAAACATTATCCAGAACGATTCCATGTAAGGACACTTGTGAAAGTCGCGGACAGATGCCAAATATTCAAACACATCTTATTTCGCAGTGATTTACAAACATTAGTTCGAATGAGATTGACTTAATGTAAGGAGACAACTGAACGACTTTTGAATGCGTTTTGTTTGCTGATTATAAGAAGAAGTTACTGAGATTCGACAAATCAACCAACATACAATGGTGAACTGTTGAAGAAAAGAAGAAATAAAGAGTGGGTTATGCATCACGCACCGTTTTTTATGAGAAACTCTAATCGTCTCAAGTTAAAAAATTTATCACTACTTCGAACTTTGAGGAAGTCAGTGATTAACCAATGGCTGCAAAACTACTATAGTGGTCTTTATAAAAACAAATCAGATTATTAACATATTGAAAAGGGAAAAGAAAAAGTGATTCTCGATTTATCAATTTTATCTTTCGCTATTAAATATATAATTGATCATCCAGTCATTTCATAAGCCGACTCAAATTACATATACAATATAGTATATTTTTTTTTTTGTGAAACATGATTGCGGCATAACAAATTATGTAAACTATACAGTTTATGCAATACAATCACACCAAACCTTTTGTATGGGAGTGAAAGCTAGGACCTTTTAGACGAACCTAAGCAGAGTTACAGGTAAAACTAAACAGCTTCAAATGGTAGCCGTCCTATCTAGGAGAGACTGGAATAGAAACGAAAAGATAAGAGAGGAACTAGATTCTGTCTCACTAAAGGATTCCCTAAGAAATAGATAGCATTCGAAATGGTTTGAGCATCTTTGTCCGACGAATAAAGACCATGACCCACAGAAAAGCGTCCATCGAGATCGAGAAGAAATGAGGCATGCTATTAAAGCACATGATGACTCAAAGTATGGGACCGCGAACCTGGGATTCATGGATCGAGACTCCTCCACTCTGAAAGGCACCAAAGATGAAAGAGAAACGAGATGAAGAAGAAATTCTAGTGCTCTTATTAAGTAATAGCACGTAGAAATAATAATGATACTTGAATGGCGGAAGACCCTACCTTCTATCTTCTTACCTTGATAAGCTGTCCTAAGGTTTTACGATTTTACTTTTTAGTTTAAGGGATTATAATAATAATAATTTATATTATAAAGAATGATATATGCGGCTTGATTGCCATATTGAACGTTTAATCACTTTCAAGGTGGATGAATCCAGATGAACAATTTTCACTTTTGATTACAAGCAAATATTGTTTCTCTTCTCTAAGCAATTTCAGACCAGAGATATCCTTAATTGCTAATAGAGCACTCATAGAGTCAGTTACACACATACTATTTGGCACTCCCTATCCTCAATGAATATCAAGCTTTCAACTGTTTCTGGATACTTAGGCTTACAAGTGAACATTCCACTTCATAATCTACTGTGTGGAAACATTAATATGACGGAAAATTTCGAAAGTTAAAGATATATTTTTTTTTAACCTTAAATAAACCAATAGAAGGATATATATTATGTTATTATGTAACGATGACATTTATTTCGAGTATATACTACCTAAAATAATCGTTGACTTGAATTTGCGACGAGGGTGGGGAGGGAATATGAAAGAAATACTAGAAAAAATCCAACTTCCGTCTCTGATGTCTAGTTATGTACGTTACCTATACAATATATTTTAATAATTAAGTTCCTGAAATTTTGAAAAATAATTTATGGGTTTCAAATGAGAATGTAATTTATTTCATATAATTAGTTATCGATGTCATAAATCTGATATGGTAGGAGAATAATTATATCCAGCATTTCTGCTATTCTTATTTTAATTCGAAATTCTCACTTGCTCTAAGAAATATTTATATAAAGTTTTTCTTTCTCCATTTCGTTTTTATAAATTCTACAATTTCATCATTTTATTTAATAGACTTTCTATGATCTCTAAATACAAGTAAAAAAATAAATCAATATCCTATTTCTATCCTATTCTATATATATATATATATATATACAAATTCAAAGTATGTGGCTATGTAAGCAAAATTATTCTTATATGGAGTACTCCTTGACTGAGTACAGACAGTGCAATAAATATTTGGTACGGGACCTCCTTCCACTACGGATGTACGTGATATCTTTCATTTTCCTTATCCTAGTAAATGGAAATATCCTCTTTCCTATGCACAATCTATGTTTCCAATCTGTATAAATAGTTTATCGTTTAGTTCCGCTTGGTCAATTGTGTACCGAAGACGTAGAAGAACGGCAACCATGTTCAAGAGATTAGTGGTGAGTAAATGAAAATTTAACCAGTAAACGTATTTTCTCTAAAAAAAAATTAATGCAAATTTTTATATTAAAAAATATTTCAAGATATACTTTTTTCCGAATGTTTTTTTTTTTTTTAAATTAAATTCTTCGACCCATGAAAAAATTCTTCTCATCACTAGCAGCATTTGTTCTGCGGGACTGTGTTCATTAATTGTTAATCACTGTTCTATGTAAAGCGGATGTCTTAATTCCGAAATTAACGAATGCCGATTCCCTACACGCAGACAATATACATTGAAATATCATGAATAAAGGGCAAACAATGTATGATAGTACATCGAATATAACATTTATTCGATATGCTTATTTATTCCAAATGCTTATTTATTCATTCATCAAACATTTTGCGAATAATTTTGTAACTAGCGTTGTGCATCTATCAGTAAACATTAAATAATTTCGGGGTTATTTTTCTTTGAACTCTTAGATAATCAAACCCCTTCTCCATCAAGCTGAATAGCTTAAGATGTTGCCATTGATGGTAATAGTCATAGGTTGTATTAGTAACTTCTTTTATATTTTTCATAATTAAGAATTTTTTGTGATTAATTTATGATACCTTTACGGGAATGAAATATTCAATTTATTTACTGGGGATGATGACCCACCCTCTCTTCTGCATACTTTAGACTACTTTTTTTCTCATTTTTATACTTTTAAATTTACTTTTTTATTAAATTATTAAAAGTATGTTTTATTAAATTATTAAAATTATTTGTATTTATATCTATTAAATTAAATTTATTTTATTAAAAATTCATTTTTATTTTATTAAAAATTCATTTTTATTTTATTTAAAATAAATAAAAATATTTATTTTTATATTTTTTTTTAAAATCAACAATTTATTACTAAACATATTGTTAATGTTCTATTTAAACGGGGAACATTTTTGAATTTTACAAATTAAAAGAAAATATGTTCTTTCATTCATTTTAATATACCGTTTGCTGTGTTGTTTTAATATACTTAATAATTTTATTCAAAAAGTTTTGCTATTCGGAATTAAAATACCCTTATAATTTATATCCTCAACATACACGGAACTATTTTATGGAAACGAAATATTGAAAAATTATTTTTAGTTCAACGATGCGAGTAAAAACACACCATGCTTATCAAAATAGTCTTTGTAAAATACTAGGAGATTCGCTAGAAGAATGGCTAACCGAGTGGAGCAGGAAATGCCGCCATCGAAGCGTCAGAGAACAGGACTAGCTCCTAATGAGGTCCAGGCTCGAGATAATCTAAGGACCAAATGCCTCACTTGCATAACACACTGGTACTTGCTAACGGAAAGAAGGTTCGTAGTAGAAGAAGGAGACCTTTTCCTTCAGGAACAGGTGATTAGTGCAATGAATAACTGCTTCAAGTTTTGGAGACAGGCCCTTAATAACTCTGGCAACGCAGCAACTCGAGCAACGTATTTGGATACTGAAGTATCAATCAACAATCACACTGCGAAACTCGAGGTTTTTATGACTGACCTTGAGAGATGTTTGGCCTGCTACGAGCTCCCTGCAACTAAGGGCGCAGAATGGATAGGGATTGTGCCCCCCTGTTTAACTCTTTTCTCACTACATAAATACAGGATGGAGGAGTTAAGAATGGGGCATAGCAGAGTGCCTGAGGGGAAAAACATCCAAACTGACATCTCTAGATTCGGACTTACATCAGCTCATGGGGTCTTGCTAGAGGGGATAAGGTGGCCTCCATCAATTAGATCGTCTTGTGCTGGAAGCATAGGCCCTCTAACCCAGATGATTTGCCTTAGGAAGAGTAGATCAGGCAACACAGGATTGAACATTGACTTTACAAAGAAGTGGCAAGCAGCGCTGTCCGATTCTCTAAGGCATCTCCCTCAATGCGATGAAATAATAAAGTTGATCCCAACATGCACTGAACCGGAGTTTGGAACCTTGATGAGGGCAGTGGGGGATGTTCTCCTCTTCACAGGAGGAAGACAGCAACAAAAAGTGGCTCTCCCCATCGAGGCTATTATTAAGAGGACTGAGACTCTGAAGAATCTAATGACTACTCAGTGTACAGCTCAAGGGCCCATTACAGCCATAGACCCACCAGAATTGGGGATTTCTGCAAGAAAGCAACCCTTGCATACAATAATATGAAGAACCTCAAGTACCCTATAATAAAGGATGCTTCCACCACAAAACAGCTACTGTTTCACAGTGTGTTTGGGACATATAAAGAGAATTTGAATCTTGTGAGATGGATAACCAGCACTGATTTTGATTGGACAAACAGAGTCAATATAGGCAAGGATTTCCAGGCCACTGCTTCCCACAAAAAAATAACTTTTGATCCAATCAAGGTCGTACACTATTCAAAGGTATCATCTGCAAACCAGTCCCAATTCTTCCGCAACACTTCGCAGCAATTCTGCTCTATACCCACATTTTCAGGTGCTTATGAGACTGAGTCAAATGCTCTCCTCAAGTACATAGAAGATAGTTCTGAAACCACTATCACAACAGCGGTTGGATTCAACACTGTGGTTCAGACCCTAAAGCTACAATTTAATGAGATGTACAAAAAGATTAAGGAGTCCAAGAAACAAAAGTGGGAAAACACGCAGTGCAAACTTATGTCTGATGGACAAACGCCAGTGAATGCTCCACCCTTGCTCAAGGAGAGATTCTTTTTTGGACCCGACTCAGATATACCAATATAATTAGAATAATCAGGTTTGTAATCAATGATTCATGCTCTCTATTAACCAACTAACAACTTTTCTTGTAATCTATCAATAATTTTTATGTATTATCATGATTTGTATGTTGTTTTTATACTTATTACTTTAGACTTGTAAGCCTTGTACTTCATTCGTAAATAAATCGTTTTTTATGAAAAAAAAAAAAAAATTCCGTAAATTCCTTCCCCCTACATATATTCCCCCTACTATACAGTTTATGCAATACAATCACACCAAACCTTTTGTATGGGAGTGAAAGCTAGGACCTTTTAGACGAACCTAAGCAGAGTTACAGGTAAAACTAAACAGCTTCAAATGGTAGCCGTCCTATCTAGGAGAGACTGGAATAGAAACGAAAAGATAAGAGAGGAACTAGATTCTGTCTCACTAAAGGATTCCCTAAGAAATAGATAGCATTCGAAATGGTTTGAGCATCTTTGTCCGACGAATAAAGACCATGACCCACAGAAAAGCGTCCATCGAGATCGAGAAGAAATGAGGCATGCTATTAAAGCACATGATGACTCAAAGTATGGGACCGCGAACCTGGGATTCATGGATCGAGACTCCTCCACTCTGAAAGGCACCAAAGATGAAAGAGAAACGAGATGAAGAAGAAATTCTAGTGCTCTTATTAAGTAATAGCACGTAGAAATAATAATGATACTTGAATGGCGGAAGACCCTACCTTCTATCTTCTTACCTTGATAAGCTGTCCTAAGGTTTTATGATTTTACTTTTTACTTTAAGGGATTATAATAATAATAATTTATATTATAAAGGATGATATATGCGGCTTGATTGCCATATTGAACGTTTAATCACTTTCAAGGTGGATGAATCCAGATGAACAATTTTCACTTTTGATTACAAATATTGTTTCTCTTCTCTAAGCAATTTCAGACTGGAGGATTAAAATAAATTCTAATAAATCCCATCAAATCACCTTTACCCTTCGACGTAAACCTATGACCTCATGTCCCACAGTATCCTTTAATAATACCCCACTTATCCCTGTTGAACAAATCCGATACCTTGGACTTCACTTGGACAAACGTCTAACTTGGAATCCTCTTACCAGACTGAAACGACAAGAAACCGCTCGACGTTTCCGACTACTCCAACACTTACTAGACACACGCTCTAAGCTTCCAGTTAATTACAAAAGACTTATATACCTGACTACAATAAGACCTATTAGGACTTACGGAGTTGAGCTTTGGGGCTCCACTAAGCCATCGAATTCCTCTCGTATCCAATCCTTACAATCCAAAATCCTTCGGAAAATCCTCAATGCTCCTTACTTTGTCACCAATAAAATAATCCATAATGACCTTAATGTTCCTTATGTTTCCGATTTGGCCCAATCCAGATACCAATCCTTCCATAATAAACTTCAGAACCATCCGAATCCTCTAGTCTCTAACCTTGCTTCCTCTTCTATTCCTGATAACCCTCCGAGGCGTCTGAAAAGAAGATGGCCTCGAGATCTCTTATTGTAAATACATTTTGTTTTTAGAGTGCTACCAGTGGGTAGTTTCTCAACTAGTCATTTCATGTTATTATTTTCTGTTATCAAATTTACTTAATGTATTTAATTTTTTAATACAGTTGTAAATATCATGAATAAATAATAAAAAAAAAAAAAAAAAGTTCAACGATGCATTATTTGTATGAGTTGTAATGACCTGTTATTTATGTCAGCTAAATGGGCGTAAATAACTTCAAAGCATATTTATAATGAAAATGAAGCTGAAATATATACGATATTCGTAATCACGTTTACTAAAACATGAATGATGTATTTTTTTTTATAGGAATTGAAAATAATGATTATTTTTATTTGTAAATATTTTACTTATAGGAATGAAATTTCGATATTAAACTAATGGACTTTTTTGTTTAGTAGATAAAATGTATAAGAATTTCAAAGGCGAGAATATTATTAATGCTAACATCAACTTAGGACCAATTTTTACCTAAACTGTATGTAATATCTACTACTAGAATTAATATGATTATATTAACAGTATATTTTATTCAAGTAATTTTGTATTAATCATTCTCATCATAATTATCACTACTTCCATCCCTTTAAGTATGCATAATTAAACATAATTTGATTAACTTTTATTTATATTTCACAGATCTTCCTTCTTTTCGGAGTAGTTGCCGTAATCTCAGTTGGCCAACAAGGTCGAACGACCAATTATAAACAAGTCCGTTCTACCTACAAACCGACGTACCAACAGTCATATCCTCAACAGGAGAAATCCACTCGCAGCCAACAGTACAACCAGCAGTACACACCGTACCGTTACCCGTATTACCAGCAATACTATTACCAGCCTGTGTACAAACAGAGCTATCAGCAAACGCCATACGTCAGGAGGAAATGAATCTCGTTCCAATTTTTCATTTGTTTTGTTTCCATTAATAATTTATTGTATTCACATCGAAATATTAACTTATTTAATTTATGTAAATTATCTTTATGAAGTGTTAAAACAAAAATATCGGTAAATAAAAAAACTTCAATATTATTAAATGAGTGTTTAAAATTGTATACCCAATTCATCACCTACGCAAATATATAATATAAAAAATAAAAAATTACATTGTTCAGCAGTTTGGCTCAACGGAAAATTTAGCTTTTGTTATGAATCACCATTGAATTAATTGACATAAATTGCCAATGCTATACAATTACATTTGATATGTAAATTATCACTTTTGCTTTTGATACAAATATAAATTAATTTTATATAAATTGCGGATTTATTTACAAACTCCAAATGTGTAGAAGCCCTGATGAAGACCGGGAACTTAAGCCGAAACGTCGGCACAAAATAAAATAAATAGTTTTTATTTGTTTTCCTCGCTGACTACAACTCCCAACTTACCCTATTTTCTAAAGATATAAATGACCGAGTTATATAATATAATATTTTTCTTACATGAGGTTAACAGGTAAACATATAAAATGTACGAAAAAGCAATACTGTAAATAAAACCGAAAGGAAATACACATAATAATTTTTTTTTTTTTTCTGTTGGCATTACAGAGCTTTTAGATCTTTGGCTATTTTTTTTCTAGTAATCCAATTTATATATATATATATATATATATATATATATATATATATATATATATATATATATATATATATATATATATATATATATATATATATATATACAATTTATATATAACTACATATTTAATTTATTGTTGTTTGTTCCTGATTAACGAGATTTATTAATTCAGATGCGTAATTAATATTCTTGCTTTAGTTTAAACTATAAACTAACTTTTGGGAAGCGGTTAATGAATTTCTTTAATAATGGAAATTGCATTAACAATAATGTTTTTAGGGATGAAATGTACACATTTTTATATGACACGTGCTTACATCTGGTAGCTGAAGTACCTACGTTAGTTAATTAAATTAACGTAATTAAAAATTAAGTTATTAAAAATAAACTAATTTTAAAATAGAACATATCGTGGTTCTTTAAGTATTAGGCTCACATCACTTGTACAAACAAATATGGGCAAATGAAATATACAAATTAATATTTCTATTTTTCCTTTCAGGCTCAAGATCTCTCCACAAAAATTTATTTCTTTTCCTCCGTACAAGTAAATTCGAGATATTATCCGATAGAATCAATAGATAAATGACAAAATAAGCTTCTTATCTTTAAGTTAATTAGGGGTGATTAAAATTAAAATTTACCTATCGAAAACCGATACTAGTCTTTAAAAAAAAATAATAGACCAAAAAAAAATATATATAATGTATAGAAAGAAAGTCACCTTTCCTTTTTTGTTTTTTAGTAAAATGTAAATTCTCTTTATAGGTTCCATTCGTTATTAATTAAATTTTATTTTCATGTTTTTTATTTTAAAGAATTTGATACAATAACAAGTGTTGATATTTTATATGTTTTTAGAAATCATTTAATAATTATTTAAAATATATATATTTTTTTAAGTCTATCCAGTTTAATTGATTTTTCCTTGCACATGATTATAGGAATTTTTACTTGAAAAATTGAATAATTTATTAATCATGATGAATTTATATATATATATATATATATATATATATTTTTTTTTTTTTTTTTTTTTTTTTTTGGTATACTAATATATAAATATTTTGAGAAAAATAAGATTTTACAATTGAATGTATAAAATCATTGGGTAAAAAAGACAAACTCAATAAATAAATACTTATTGATTTACTGCTATTAAAGTTATTGCAAATCTAAAGGTGCGTTTAGACATTTTACAAAATATTTGAAACATAAATATTTAAATGGTTTTGTTTCCCAATGCTACTGCTTTTGTTTCTTTTTTTTTTAATGTTTTTCATCGTCTGTCAGTAACAAGAGGAATATAAAAAAAAGGTTGGGCTCAGCGGTAATGTCTTTGTTAGTTAAGTTAGATAATTGCGTTTCCCTATTTCAATGTCTAAACGCACTTTCAGACTTTAATCGTTTGTTATCCGTGTTCCTCTCCCTTTAAAGATTATAAACATCGAGTTCCGAAATACTCCTATTTTAACTGGAATTTTGATTTATTTGTTGACTATTGACACTATGTGTTGCGATAGTATTGTTAGATATTTACCCTAACTATCCCGACTTTTTCAGTCATTTAAAATATCCGTGACCCTATTGAATTACAATTTCGAAATATTAGAAAAAATATTGATAAGAGGTATATCTATATAGTTTTTTCGATATTTATAGAAATGCAATATATACTCTGTACAAATATATATCATAAAGCCTACAGGAAGCGATGGAATGTGTAAAAATCCTGATTGAATTTTCGAATAATCCCCAAAATATGGAGTATTCGTCCAGAAGAAAGAATTAAACAATTACCTCAACTTCTTTATTTTGATGACATTGCAGAAAATGAATCGCCTCGCTGAAGAATTTGTAAATTGAGTACGACGAAATATCTAAATTATTTTATATTTACGTCATGGAATAAGTAATAAATTAAATAATCGTGTACGTAATGGCATAATATAGGAAAAAATTGTCGTCCTTCCCAGAACCCACACAAACCAGAAATTAGTGCCTATTACAAAACCGAAAATGGCATCATATACTGCATTCATGCGAAGGTGCTAATGCAACGCAGTGATTTCCCTAATGCGTTTTAAAGGAACCTTCTCCATTCTGCAAATAGAGCCTAGGTTGAATCAGTTAGTTGTTGGACACTCCGTTCTTATGAAGCCTGATGGCTGAATATTCATACATAATTACCCTAAACGGTAAATGATAAGTTAATAAAGTCATTATACAAAATACATATTAATTGAAATAGGTGGGAATCGAGTTGATTCCAATCTGTACCGTACACTCGCTTACTCGTCCAAACTTGCTAAGCCATCACTCTATCTTATTATGGTTTGTATTAGGCCAGGTAAAAATCTTGCTTACGCATCGAAATCAGGTCAGTGCCCTCCGTGACGCAAAAAGTCTATTGTTCTATTGAAATCTGGCAGTAGAGATAATGCGAAACAGAAAAAACAACAACTATAAAGTAGATAATTAAGATTGTCATCGTATAGTTGAGCTAGAAATGAAAAATTTACAATTAATACCAACTTCAAATATTTTTATAATACATAGTAATTCAATTGAATGAATTATTGAATATAATCGAACTTTATGGACGTGACCTGAAGACACGGACACTATTCTGGCAATCACTAAGTTGTTTAAATTGGACGTAATCCGACATACCTTTTCGTATCACGTCAATGAATGAGTAGCTTTCTTTAAGAAAATAAGTAACATCACAGTTGTGGAAACCAAAATTAAGATTTTGAGAAATTATGTATGAGCGATACCTAGAAAAACGGACATGTTAACTTAGCTTGCCTTGAACATGGGTTGAAGGAAGAAGAAGAACTTATAATAGGACCGAAATAGACAATTCTTTCATTTTGAGGAACATCAATGAAATAACCCAACAAATACTCCAGTAATTTGAATAAGGTCATTAAATTTCGTGTTTACCAGTAATGCTGCTAATTTAAAGGCGCTGGGATCTTCTAGAGTCCTGCCTTTCCTTCCTCGAGTGGGGAGAAAGGCTTGTGTGAATGATTTTTTTTTTAGATATTGTATAGAAGCGTGTGTGTGTGTGTGTGTGTGTTTGTGTGTGTGTGTGTGTGTGTGTGTGTGTGTGTGTGTGTGTGTGTGTGTGTGTGTGTGTGTGTGTGTGTGTGTTTGTGTGTGTGTGTGTGTGTAGTTGTTTTTATTAGTTTAGATTATTTTTGTTTGATTTAGCTTATGTACATTTACTTTTAGTATTATTGTTTTTTCTGTATTATTAATTTTTATTTATTGTTGATAGACCCTGAATGTGCTCTCTGAACACTACTATGAATGTCCTTATTTGTGACAGAATGTAATATCTCTCAATAAATATAGTTTAAAATAAAAAAAAAATCGTGTTAGAGCAAATAGAACTTTTTTATCAAATTAAAGAACAAGGTTGACATTAGCAAGGTCTTTGTCGTAAAGTGTACTATTTATCTGAAACATGAGCGGTAAGCCAATTTAATGAGCTCTCAAAAAACTTTCAGACTTGAAGCAAATATGTCATTAACAACGGAAGAATTAAGTTTCTTCGCTAGTAGGAACTCACAATAATAAACTTTTCACGACAAATTATAAAATTGAATAAAACATCCTTAATAACGAGCCCTATCAAAACGAACTCAGAAATCAGAACTTGGAAAACAGTAAGTATCAAACATATGCATGATAAACGATAAAGCACATTCTGACAACATGCATTCAATTATTCAAATACCAAAACTAAACAGTACAATGACATCTACCATTATAAATTAAAAAATACTGTAGAAATATGAAAATCGCCAATATTTATTAAATACATTAGAATATTTCATTTTTTCAGATGTTGCTCAATTATTGACCAGCCACCGAACGAATAGGAGTAGACGAGGTTTATAATTTTTAAAATACCAAAATTAGATATAATGATTATTATATTTTATAAATTTTAAGGAGCCATCTTCCCAAAATCTCACTCAGGATGGTAGATGATTATTTTTTAAAGGTAGAAGAAGGGTAGTTAAAGAAATTTGCCATATCTCTGAAATACACCATGTAAGGAAATCGTTTCTATGCTAGGAACACTTAATGGACTATCTTTTCACGGAAATTATTCTTCATAAATTATAAATTCTATTAGCACCGAGCCTTACCAAAACGGATTCAGAATATATATATATATATATATAATTAATATGAAATAGTTAGATAATCGACATAAATAATAGATTTATTACATTTATTCCCATAGATGAGGTAATATTTTTCCTAAATTCTGTGGTCATCCTGA